AACTATAAATACCCATGTTTTTCTGTACATTTTTGGTTCTTATTCAGTGATCACTTCCCTTGCTTTTTCCATCTTCTGATTTGCGACTGTGGGGTTCTACACTTTCAAGTGCCGTTAGTTATATATCGTATTCGGTCGTAATCAAGTAGATTACTTAACACCTTTTTAGTTCGTTCACTGGCCAGTTAAATTAAGACCTGAATATCGGGCATATTTTTTGCCTACTGGTTTCATTTGGTATCGCAGAATAAGTTGCTAAGCTTTTATATTGTCGAAGAATTGCGCGAAGGAATTTCACAGTTTTTATATTCAATACGAAAGAAAACACTAATCCACAATCTTATATATTAATATCCTTTTCTTCTCAAAGTTACTTTGAAGATAATCATTATGTTAATCATTTTGAAAGTTTCACCTCTTAAGCATTATCTCACGTATCAGTTCACATTAATTTTTTTTCTTATTGAACTTGTTGGGGAGATCCAGAAAACTCGAAAAAAGGTAGGAAAGGCTCTGAAAACCCTAGGATCTCTGCACGTAAACGAACCTTTGGAGTAAGGCGTTTCTTCCATAATTCGCGCCTTTTCTCTCGTGTTTAGGTCACTGTGTAGATTTAGCCTGAGGTTTACTAGAAATGCTTAGGAACAGAATCTAGCATTCAATTAGAAGAATTATCAAGAATTCTCACAGTCGGGGGGGGTCGGTTCTCGAAGTTTTTCTTTATAGCTAATGCCAAGGATGTTACACTCACTTCATTATCAGCGTAAAGGTGTTGTTCACCGGTGTGAAAACGCAAAGCAAACATCTAATGGTTTGACAGTTTTGGTGGGTACTGTGGGAAGTTAGAAAACCTTGATTCAAAACCAATGGTATCTAGGATCCTAAGAAAATGACAGGCGTATAAGAATATTTCGTTCACTAGTTATCATGATACAACATCTGACGTTGCCTTATAGATTAGGCCTTTTGGTCAAGACTTATGAACTGTCCCTTGACAGAAATATCTACTTCTGTTTAGGAGTTCGAGTAATATCCATACCCCACTCACAAATATGACAATTATGAAGAAAATACTATACACCTATCGATTATAAGCTAAGTTTTATGTTCGACATAATGAATTCTTTGTTTTTTTTTCTTTCCCAAACACCTTCCAAATGATAATAAGTAGTAAATGAAATAATTCTTACTTACAAATTTATCTTAATTCATTGTCTTTTTTTTATAATCTTTTCTTTATAAGAAAAATAGTCATAGACAAATGAATTATTCTATTTATAAATAAATTAAAGATATGAACCAAGTTGATCATTGAAATAACAAAAAAACACATCTAACTTGATGAGTAAATAAAAGAAAGATAATTTAATCAGAAAATAAATGACATTAGAAGAGGAAGAAAACTTTTGTGATTAAGGCGAACGACAACTAATAGATAGATAGATAGATAGATATGAAATATATTCAGTTCATTTGAGGGTATTTTTATGTAATAATGACTATGTATGTTTATGTGTGTGTGTGTGTATCTGTTCATATTCATGATTGTTGTTATCACTAAAATATAGACATAACTGTTTATTCACTAATAACAATTATCATCATTGCTATCAATTTATTATTCATATAGTGGAAAATTAATTATTGGAAAAAGCGGTAAAATAATTGTACATTGAATAGAAATGTCTATATTGTCTTTATTGCCTATCTTTTTGAGTGTGTGCGCATGCATTTTTGTTTTACTTTAACCTCTTATTTTCTTTTCTACTTCTGTTCTTCTTGAAGTGTTCAAATGGTGACAGAAATGATGAAGTAGTGGATAATTGTAATAATTATTTATCATTCTTTTTTTTGGCGGGGGGGGAAGGGAAATGAATTTTCAAGACGATTAACTTGATAAAGAGATTATATATTTATATATGTATATTGCTTATTAGAGATTAGTTTTATTTTAAACCTCTCCTTGAATATCCTTTACTATTTGTGTATATAAGAAACTGGTTAATAAGAATGATGCACAAAATGGAGATTAATCATTTCCTTTTGTTATATCTATTCACAATTAGCAGAATAGATTATCATTGTGAATTTGTATTTAATAGAAAGTTATAAATTAGTGAATGTTTAGGGAAAATGTATTTGTTTGACTAAAATGATAGGCGTGTGTGTATATGAATGTTGAAAGATAATCAACAATTTATTTAATGAACTGTATGCTCTAGAATAGATCAAGCACTTTGACAAAGATGTATCTATATGGTAGGATCTAAGATTGAAATGAGGATATTCAAATATTAGAATCAACTTTGGTATTTCGCGACTTCATGTATTTATTATGAATTATTCTAGTTTTGGATATTTAATATTGTAAAGATTTGCGATCCTAATGCATATTAGCAAAAATTAAACGTTTTATGATAATAACAAAGATTGATCAGAATTCAGTTGTAAGTATTAACAATTAGAGAGTAAAGACCTTTACTAATCATAAAATAATACAGGATGTTAATTTGAATCATCCAAAGCAACAATTATTTGTTATGAATTAATAAAGTATTTACAACCAATTAATGATACTGTTATTTCAATAGTTGAGATCATGAGTCAATTGAAGCTAGACCACCAGGGAAAGCCTGGAAGCACTGTACGGCCGTTTCGTTCTATTATGGGACTCCTCAGCACTGCTGAGGTCTAGCTTCAATTGAATCATGGTCTCAACTATTGAAATTACTACAATCTCCACGAAACGCCTTTTTGAAACTAAACAGATGCTCACTAGTGACTGGTTTCAAGATGCATATCCTGGAGTTCTAGTGAGAAGCAGTGACCAGTGGATTTCGACCGGGTCAGTTGTGAGATAGTAACTTACTGGATGTGTCGCTTAATTTCGTGGATTAGTTGAAACTAGACGTTAACACCGTTGGATACCGGCTCAGTGGTCTATTGGTTAAGCACTCGCGCGCGAGGCCGAAATCCCTGGGTTCGAATCTCGCGGGGAGCGGGATCGTAGGTGCACACTGCTGAGGAGTCCCATGCTATGACAAAACGGCCGTTCAGTACTTTCAGGTTTTCCATGGTTGTCTAGCTTCAATTGACTCATGATCTCAACTATTGAAATAACAGTATCACTAATTGGTTGTACTTTATTAATTCATAACAAATAATTGTTGCTTTGGATAATTCAAATTAACATCCTGTATTATTTTGTGATTAGTAAAGGCTTTTACTCTCTAATTGTTAATACTTACAACTGAATTCTGATCAATCTTTGTTGGCATATGTGCATCCTCTGTCCATTGCCTCGATACAGCCATTTTGTTACAAAATCATTTAGAATGGATTGTGGCTAGCAATGAAATTCAAGATATTCTATCCTATTAGGGACTCATCAGGGATTATTCACGTGGTAGAATTCTGTACATATAATAAAGCCAGTGATTTAAACTATGTAGTGGCTTGCTTTCAATATTGAAATGTTTAGAAGATAAGAAATAATAACTGGTGAATTTATTAAATTTAATAACTGATTGATAGATACAAATAAGAGAGATCAAGGTAACTCATATCGACTTGATATTAGTTAAAGAGTGATTGATCTAAATACAGAAGAGTAATTTATCTGAATTCATCAATGGGTGGATGATTTATAAACTTAAAATTGATTTATGGTAGTTAAATTATTATATACTCGACCAAATCGATGATATTTTGTATCGAAGAGAGGTTTTTTAAGAATACCAACCAAAGGTTTAAATAATACAGTTAGGAAGTAACAATATAGAAACATAAACAACTTAGTGGTCGTTTCATACTGAATTGTTATTTTCACACTAATGAATTAAAAAAAGTATCAACGTAAATTACGGTGCTCAAAGTATCTGGTCAGAATTGTGGGAACTATTAAAAGATATTTCCTTTAGTTTGGTTCACAGGATACACTATTATCATTGAACGTCAATTAACTGATTGAAATGTATATAACCTCTGTCGAACTGCAAAGAAGAGCTGTTGATTGATTTTAACTATATAGAACTCGTTATGTATTCAAGTCACGTACACTTTAAAAGCAACATTCGTATAGTCTACCACACTTAGTTCATTTTTTCTATTATAATACTACGATTCGTATTCGATTACTTTGAGATCGTACATCAGAATTTCAGCTCTATTATTGTTCACTAACATATTCGACATCTTCAATGGATGTTATATCCCGATAATTTATATATATATATATGAAATTCGGTGCAAAAAAAGCACTGAAAATAGTATGTTCCGCAAAAATAATATTTCTGTATGCGTTAGAAATCTACTCTGGCGCTCGAACCTAGAGAGGTGCTTTTTATAGCTAACCGTTATTCAAGTTTTCAGTTAATGTCCTGATTCACAAAGTAGTGGAGCACTATCAGAAAATCCAGTCTCGTGGTGGTCAATGACCAAAATTGTTCCATTCGCCGCTTATCCCTTTTAGTATCATGTAGTTCATGTTTACCACTGTTTTGAAGTAAAGGTTTTCCAACCTCCTTGGTTGAATTCGCCATATCTATCAACAATTTTTCAGAGCTAAGATCTTTTTGACGCCATATTCATTCTAAACAGAACCCCCATCAGCATGGATGCAATGAGTGGACGAACGTATCCTTACTAATATGATCAATTTAATGGTTTTCACTCGGGGATCTCTGGTCAGTGAATGTTTCTACCTCATAAAACTATTCTTGCTCTAGTTGATTCAATAGGATATTGTGTTTTTTGTGTTTATGCTTAAACTCACTTCTAACTTGATTCCCTTCTAGATATTATGATTGTTAAGTGGATATGTTAAACTCAAACTGTAGTTCGTCAATACAGATTTACAAAACCATCAACTAACCTACTTCATTACCCAACTTACTATGGCTACTTCACCAATGCTCAACATTATCAGAGATATCACTAATAAATATAACAGAAAATCACAAATAAATGACTTCATTTTATTGAACAAAGGAAAATAAATTGCAAGTTCTATTTAAATAAAAAGTAGTATTTCATTTTTGTTTTTATTTACCCTGTGTAAATTATATTCATTTAATGGTATACACAAAGCAATTTCCAGTGAATATATATATATATATTTAAAATGAAAGACATCTACTAACATGAGAAAATATTTCTAGAATGTGTATATGATTCAATTATAATTGATTACTAATATATGCAAACGGCTCCCATTGGAGCCATGTTACAAAGGAATGTAAATCAGTCATAATAATGACAAAATTCTAAATTGATCAGAAGAAAAACTAACTGATAAACCATCTTAAAATGTTCCAAATTATAGTTCCAAGTTAAACAGTTAGTGTATATCAATTGAAATAAACGTCAAATAATACCCTAATAAACACTTTTACAGATGTTATAAGAAAATCCATTCAAATTGTTTAGTGAAATCATTAGTTAAGCTGACCAACTATATTGCACTTCAACTCTGAAGATCTTTAAGTTATTATTATCATTATTGAAAAAATGTAGTAGTTTATTGATAGGTGCTTTGTTTTACTTATTGTTTTCTGATGAACTTGACATTGAACATGGAGGTAGGTGAGATGGGAAAGATATCGGGTGGACAGGAGATGTATATATAACATTACTTGGAATATTACAGTTGCTATCAAGGTGAGTAGTATCCAGTAATTTCGATTTGATAGGTTCAAATGTGATGCTTTTATGATCATCATTTAATAATAAAGAGTCTGACTGTTGAATTTGTGAGTTAAGACGTATGATTAATTTGTATAATTCATCAATTGCATTTGCCTGCATTAGAATGTAATTTTTCGCTAATAACAATGTAGCGATTTTTGACAGTTTTCTTACAGATGGACTGTGTGCATACGGGATAACACTGCGTAAATCATCTAATGCATCATTTAAATCATGCATTCGTCGTCTTTCTCTAGCATTTATACTTAAACGAGCATTTCGTTGATGATGATGCTGAATGTGATGTTTAGTTACATTTCTTGAATGGGCATTTGAAAAATGATGACGGTTTAAATATGTTAATGAATGAGATGTTGTTGTTATTAATGATGAGGGAGATGAAGATGATAACGGCGTTGTTAATTTCCATAGTAGATCATTTTTCTTTCTATCATAAGAGGTTCCGCATTTAATACTTGGGAATAAGATAAGGTCATCATTATTTTTTTGTGATTGAGTGGGATCATGTGAAGTAGTAGTAATAGTGGTGAATAAACAACTATCATCAATATCGTATATTTCATCCATTTATGATTATTATAAATGGAATTAATCTGTAACAGTTTGAAACTTCCTCACATCGTTCTCATCGTATATTGGTCAGGTCTGTTGACCAATCAGAAAAGGACTATGACAAGATGTCAACCAATCACATCTATTCGATAGTTTAGACGAGGTTAACTATTCGTTACAAGGCTGGTTAATTATATTTCTATTAAATTACTGTATTCTCCACAAAACCTCTTTCTGATATTTCTATTATACAGAAATAAAATTAGTTAGGGAGTAGACTAGGATATTCAGAAGTTCAATGAAATCTTTGGTAATGGAAACGCAAGTATCAGTGTCTCTAAAAGATCATGAAAAGAACATCCATATTTTCAGTACTGTTAATGTTTATATTACCAGTAAATCCTCGTCGTTATAGACTAACTTTGATCTGAATAGAATGTTGACCGATTTATAAATTAATGACTACGTAAGCGAATTCTACCAGTTTTAAACAAATAATTTCGAAATAGTTTGGTACTGGGTATGGTGAATGGTAAAAATAAAACTTTTTACGAAAACCATAACTGAAATCAAACTATTCAGATGTTTCTATACAAAGTTTGGTTCGACCTTCTTCAGGAAGATAATCCAAAATATAAAATATAAGTAAGGTCGAAAAACAACTATGTGTTAAGCGACTGTTTAATCATGTTAGAATTTTGAATATGGTTCGATGTAGCAATGAATTAGTGTAAAGAACTGACATTCGCTTGTAAAAGTAGAAATATTGATTCACTACGCTGCAGTGAGTGTCAAACTGGAAACAAGGAAGATTCAACCATAATAAGGAAGGTTATCCTGGGATTTGAGTTGCATTACAATCGTTGCCGAAAGAATAGTCTCTAAGAGTCCTATATTCGGCACCTTTATAGACACTGCGAACAAACCAGGAATATACAAATGGTTTGAAATAACTCATTTCATCCCACTTAATCTGTTGCATATTGAATAAAGCTTCAGATGATGGAGATGTGAAGCTCTCTTCTGATATTGCTTAAACAGGCAATGACAATTTTCTGATTAGAACATTTAGCTCAGTTAATTCAACACTACCACGAGTATTCAATAACACATATATTGCATGCAACTGAAGCTATCCAGTGAATCCGATTGACTCTGAACTCAAGACCCCTTCAGAGAGATTTTCAATGCCCGAAGATTAATATGACCCAACATTCAACTGAACTTCTTTATTTGCTGAATGAAAATAGGTGACTAGAAAACCATTGTTTCCGCTTGAACACAAGGTATACAATCTTGGTTATGATCCATAAACAAACCAGCCAGAAAAATAACTTAAACGTCTACCACCCAGATTTAATCTGACCATGACATAGTACGTTATTACTTAAAACGAAATGGTGATCCATTTATGGGCATGACTGTTTCGCATTAATTTTGTTTTTTATTGTTTATTAATGTTCGGTATGTACATATTGTTTTACAAAATCTTTAACTAATAATCGGTATACCATTAAATGAATTCGAATAGGAATTATCCTAATACTTCTTGGGTTCTCATCAATAAAGTTTTTAGATTTATTGCATTTTTGTCTCAAATAAGCAAATAGAGAAGAAAGAGGATAGAAATCAGTCTTGTTCATCGCCATTTGAAGTAAGAATAACGAACTACTGGCTCAGTGTATGATTGTATCACATACAGAAATATTTGTTTATAAATGAAGAGCTGATGCAACCGTCCCAGTTTTACCAAATTTTTATTTCACATTTATTAATTTTTGTAGTTCCTTTGACATAACAACACCGTAAAATAACCACATTCAAAAGTATAATCCAGATTTAATAAAACAAGAATAAGAAAAAGAGAATTCAGGGCAGAAACTTTTCTTTTCGACGAAATCATTTACTTAAGCTGTACATTCGTAAATATATTTATATGGAAAAATATATCAGAAGGGGTTTTGTGGAGATTTTAGTAATTTCAATAGTTGAAATCATGAGTCAACTGAAGCTAGACAACCATGGAAAACCTGGAAACACTGAACGGCCGTTTTGTCATAGCATGGGACTCCTCAGCAGTGTGCACCTACGATCCCGCTCCCCGCGAGATTCGAACCCAGGACCTATCAGACTCGCGCGCGAGCGCTTAACCATTAGACCACTAAGTCGGCATCCAACGATGTTAATGTCAAACTTCAACCAATCCACGAAGTTGCGCCACCGTACACTATTGTCTTGATGGTGGTCTAGCTTCAATTGACTCGTGAATTCAACTATTGAAATTACTAAAATGTCTACAAAACCCCTTCTGATATATTTTTCCATATAACTATATATACGAATGTACAACTTAAGTAAATGATTTCGTCGAAAAGAAAAGTTTCTACCCTGAATTCTCTTTTTCTTACTTAATAACAAGAATATTATAGGAATGATTTGCTTCAGTAAGGTATAAAAACTTTTTTCTCTCGTTAAACTAAGTTATGCACATTATTCATTCTAATTGAAGTTTTATTAATTAGTTTATATATTCAGTGATATAGATATGATTTACTGATGTAATATTAACAAATAAGAAGACCAGTTTGCAGATTAAACTCTGGTTGCATTTGAAATAGACAAGGCAAAATAAATAGCTTGATTTATTTTTGGTAAAAAAAATACTACTAACTAGCAAAATTAAAATTTTATTCAGTAGTTCAATTATAGATCCGAGTATACAATATGAAAATTATTAAAATTAAACTTAGTTTTAACAAAGATCATTCAGATTTATATTTGAATATAAATCTGAAAAATATAGAACAAAATTGTATAGAGATGTATGAAAAACAGATTCACTTTTAAGTATTTAGCTAATTTTTGGTGTATTGAATTCAGTTAATAAACCGCTATCCGGGCTAGGCTTTAAAATAATCTTTTGAACATCACGAAATTGAGGATGATCAGAACCACAGAGTATAGTTAATAAAGCTGATTCACATGTAGTCAAATAGACACCTGATTGACTCATTCGTTGAAATCCGAACATTCTACAATACATGTATACAAAGTATGAGAAACTAAAATAGATTTCCAGTGAATTTCATTTTGTTTTATCATAATATTTAAGAAACAAGACAAAATATAGTTGAAATATTAGACTAAATATTGGAATACAGTAGTGCAACATTTTGCGGTTCGTCGAGACTACTAATGATATGTACGCTTCCTAAATGAGTTCTCAAATCAGCTACTTAAGTAAGTAGAAAGATTTCTATTAACCAACTAAATCGGAAGTACATGCACGAACTTATTCATAAACATAGATACATATCCCTCAGAAAACTAAGCAATAATTTTTCAACTATTAGCGTATTCCTAATACATTAGAAAGTCAACCCTAATCTTGACCAATAGTGTGAGTTTGTCAGCATCTTTCATTGACTATTTAGCTTCTATCTAACTTGCTCAGTGTATTAATCAGGCAATATAATCTCATGAGTTTATATTCATAAATCTAGGCTGGTATGACGGAATGAGAATTATACTGAGCACAGTGTGAGACGACTTAGTGGTTGGAGAACCCAACTTCTAGCCACTGAAATGTAGGATAAGGGTGCATAAAGATTAAACGATGCTACAAAAATAAAAGTAACTGATTAAGTCTTTAAATTATGGTTTAAACTAATCCTATGACATTCTGATGATTTAGTAACATTTTAGATTTTAATAGTCATTAAAAACACTATCAGTGATTTATCTCAAAATATTTCAAAGTTCTTATTAAGAAATTCTTGCCTTAACTACACCAATACCGTAGATGAAATTGTGAATAAGACAATTGTTACCAATATAAATCAAAAGAAGGAAGTCAATTAAATCATCAGTGAAACGATAGTAACTCATAAATGACTGAATGAGGATATCCTCCCTTAAATATTTACTGAACTCTGAATTATTGCCTAAAGATAGAGTAGTCAAATCGAGAACTCAAAATATTGATTTTCACTCTGACTGAAGAGGAGGGTCTATATTACTGAATAGAACGAGACAACCGTCTCATACTTTCTTATTTTTAATAATTATCCAGCTGATATCAAACTGAAATAGTCTAACGACAGAAGCACGGACTTTTCAACGAATCAATGGTTTGAGCTATCATAGAAGTTGATTTTAAATGATATTTTAAAACTCCTAGGCTCTATGATTAAAAAGAGGCTTCACTAGTGGTATTTTTTAAATTGTTGGTTCTTATAAAATTGCGGTATCTATTCAGCTTTAGATGGTTTATTACATAAACTTAATTACGGTCGAATGTATAAGATAATTATCTGTTACATAAGTGTAAAACATCTTGTACATTAATATGATATAAACAGATTAGTTACCTATCAACCATATTTCGTGAAGATACAGCATCTACAATACAATGAACTTGTATTCCCCGTTCAATTAAATCTAATGCAGTTGACTGAACACAAACATGTGTCTCAATACCACATAATAAAACAGAATTGATTTGTTTTCCCAGATCCAAAACATTGGCTACTTCATCTGTTAGCATAGAAAATGATCTCTTTGAAATGATGGGAATACCACTTAAATCTCCTAACTCTTTGACAGTAGGACCTAAGCCTGAATAACGAAAGGGTTTTCAAAGTATTTTAATAGTAAACTTCATAAAGGATGTACTGAACAGCACTATCGTTGAAAAAAACATAAGTTTAGCTATTACTTTCAATATAATATTTTACTACCTACTTTTCAAGATCATGTAAACAGTTATCATTACCTATATGTAGACTTTTATAGAAAAATAAAAGTTCTGTTGTGAAAACCAGTCTTATTTCCTCACTTAAAAGTCCAATGATTTGTCGTTGTATAAGTTTACGCGGTCAATAATAATCGCATTATATACGTCTACTGATTAGTGTTATCACTAGATCTTTACATTCCAGTGCAAAGCATAACAAGTATATTGCCCAAAGTAATTGTAACCTTAGGAAACCCAAACAGGTTAGATTAAGTAGACAATATATTGTGTCTAACTCCTTGTCCAAAACATGTGACGAATGTATAGGATTTCTGACTGAACAAGAGAAAGAACTAATTTAAACAGCACAATTACTAAACGTCTGGACTTTTACTACTATCAACGTTGTGTAATTTTCTTCCACATGATATATATATATATATATATATATATACTTACAATATTTTGTTTAGTCTGTAAAATTTGTTTACACCCTTGGTATAGAATACTGATTTGTGATCTAAATCAACAACATAATGTGAACCCATTCCGCAAGTAGTAGTAAATATCACAAGTTGTAATCAGCTGAGGACAACCAAACGAAATAAGAGGAATTCATGCTATTGAGCTCAAATTTTTGTTCTTGCCCTCTTTAATATGATAAAGGGAAGTACGTTTATGGAGTAAACCCCGTTATTATCTGAACTATATACTATAAGCGCTATTTGTGTCATCAGTTTTTGTTTGGTTTATTCTTCCTTATCTCGCTTGTAGAATTTGACAACTTGAAATTATACACTAATATTGGTTTTGTCTGTTGGGTGACATTTTCTACTTAGATTTTTAAATGGTTTATTTATGTAAAACTTCCTCACATCTTTGGTTTCAATTTGTTTGTGAACGTTTGAAACAATCATCGTCGCTGAACTACCTAGTAATTCCGAATGTTTCTACAATGTCAAATAAAAAGGCGTAAGCTTTATCAGTCATTGAGGGGAATTAATTTAGATGCAGCGATAATATAATCACTGTACTCCCATTTTAAGATGCTTTTTATCAACATATGTAATACATTTTTAATAGAGTTCAGGTTATGCAAGTTCCAAAGAACAATGATAAATGACAATTAATTTTACGAGACGCAACTGTTAACTTGAATTATATTACCACTAAGACAGATTTTCAATTTACCACTTCGCTGAAACACCCACAAAAATGTCACCAGGTTTATTATTTATATATTTATTTATTTGAACACAAAGGGGCACAAAATACATATACGCCACACAAGTCTCTTGACTGGTGTGTGGGCTATGATACTGCCCGGGTGCCCAAACCGAAGCAGGTGATTTTCTTAGGGAGCCACACCCGGAGCCTTCGACATAGAGGTCTGATTCATGGGGTAGTGGAGCAATGTCAGGAGGTACTTCCCCATGGTAGCCGGTGACCAACGATTGATTCATACGCCATTTATTCCTTCAGGATACTGGAGCCCATTTGCCCCATTGGTTTGGAATCAGGGTTTTCAACTCCCCTAGGTGGATCCTCCGTGTTCACTACCGCAGTTAAGGCACCGGACATTGGCTTTTCGTCCTCTCAATTTCGTAAACAACACCCGCTCTGCGAGTAGGACTTTCCTGACAGTGGCTGTATACGCGTGGCCATGTAAGAGCATTTCGAGAGGGAGAGCTGACTCTCCCCATCCTCGGCCGTACCAAAGCATTTGGGGGCACCAGGATTACACAAGAAGACTATTTTGTAAATATACGAAGATTATGTCGATCATTGTTCTAACAGAGGATAATTCCCAGAATATGGCCAAAAACACAAATCTATATGGTTTCGTGCAAGCTTAAACCAATAGACATCCCAATACAGAACAAAGAAACACCTCAAATACGAATAAATCGAGGTGTTACAGTTAACGCATTTTATACAAAATATCTTACAAGAATATAAACCACACTTTAAAAACATGCTAGAATACTATTCTTCCCAAAACACACCTTTAGGGTACATTTCAGTGACTACAATGCACATTCCTAGCATTCGAGCAGCTGTTAACATCCGACTAGACGTTTCGACAATTGCATCAAAATGACTAATAGTTGGACGAAATTTTTCCTGTATGTCACATAACAATAAAGCAGTACGTGGTAGTAATAGTTTGCCAACTCGTGAAATGCCAGACATAATACTGTAACAGAAATAGTATACAACACAACTTTTATGTTATTATCGACAAAAGGTAATCAAACAAACACGTCTAATGATCAACAAAGAGAGTATATACGTTTATTAAAATTAGTAGCGAACACGTCATTTGAAGCGGTGGAAATAAGAAAATCGCTGCTAATGTCACAGGTGTGAACTATTTAGAAGTCAAACGCAATGTAGATCCTAGCACATGAGATTAGGTTGACATACCACACTAGTACAGCGAGATGAAATCCTCAGGGCGAATCCCAGAAGTAGCAACAAAATCGATAAAAACAGAAAAATTAGGCATCTAAAATACAAGTTGAGAAAATAAAAGTTAGTGAAATCATAGACACTTAGGATCTAATTGAAGACAAAGAGTGAACGCACCTGCACCATTGCAAACAGTTTTGAGCCGTGCCGTCCAAATTTTCTGACCATTGGTTAGTGCTTTATGATTCACAATGATTATCAAGTTACAGTTGGTCTGAAATGCAAACTCTTTGAATATTGATTAAACAACCACCAAAGGCTTCCTCTCAACCATATAAGTGAACACACGTGGGGGGACCGAAACACAGATTTGTTCGCGAAAGGTAGTTAACGTTTAGCCACAGACTTGTAAGTTCTAACCCTGATTAATTTATTTTGGTTTAATTTTGCTCAAATAGAAGAATCTATTACGACTACTATTGAATGGGTATTCCGTCGATCCGATGTAATCTACATGTTAAGACCAAAAATTAAATCGACAACAGTCGTTCCGAGTGAAAAAGCCCTTTACATAAGAGGATATACCCAGAATTGTCTTAACGTGCCGACTAAGTTGAACTACTTTGAGGATAACCGATGCTAGTCAGTAATGATCATCTACCCAGAAACCGGTTGACCATTGTATTCAAGTCTATTCAATTGATTCAGAGGAGCTATTTAGTATGGTCCATGTGTTACAGAATGTGCAATCAGGAAAGAGGTGAAAAAATTTATAAATATGACTATCATTTATCACCTGATAAATAAACGTAAGAGGAGCTTCTCAAGTTCTATGTAGTGTCTTAAGTACGTTTCTAAAAGGGACAGGACTACGTCTCCTCTACATAGTTGAGACCACTAAGTTGAAGAAACCTGGTAAACAAAGAACATTAGGCTTCTTGATCTACACTGCATTACAATAGGCTATTCTCATTTTTGATCAGAATGGTTAATTTTAGTGAGCCAGATAAATGCAACTTAGATTGGTTAATTTAACTACATATTATAAGCTCCTAACTAAAAATTCACTATTTTCCGTTTTTAAAATTGCAGATCTTAACTTGAGGAATTTGCAACACCAATGCAGCTACAACATTTATGTATGTCCTACCGATTACAATACTAAATTAACGAATTAATGCTAGTGTTCGGGGGTAAAGTTGGAGAAAATGAGAATCTACTTAAGTATTCATGATTTTTTAATATCTTACCGAGATCTGTAAATTATTTAAATTTAAACAGTCTAGCTTCTCTTAATTTACTAACTAGTAGCTGGCCATAAAAAACGTAATAATGACTAGCTATTTTAGTCATGACGCTGTGACCAACTTTGGTGAATATGATTTGCTACAACAACTGTGTGCTATGGATTTGTTGCATGAACCAAGCCTATAAGTTCGTTTGATGGTGGGAAATACTTCTGATCAAAACTAGCAGCTGAAATGTCCATCCCTTAATCTGATGCGTCATTATTCATGAACAATACTGGTGGAGGCATTGCCAGTTTTCATTCGTATTTGACAGGAGTGACTCATGAATTTACAAAACTTCACATTAAAGGTAGTAAGATTTGCTGTATGACAGGTATTCTACACACACACACACACTGAAAATCACTAGTTAGTTAGCGAAACAGATCAGTTATAAAAATGAGGTCACATATACGAATTCACTCTACTAACTGAAGCTTGGATAGCCAGGCTGTGTCACTTTGATAGGTGTACAAGGTTGATAGGCTAAAACTAACAATACAATTAGAGCGTTCACAAGACGGCTTAGAAAAGACCGAATGACTTTAGTTACAGCTTCTAGGTCAACCAAAGGACGTGTTTACTGCGCAGCAGTTCGTTCCGTTCTACTTTGTGGCAGTGAAACATGGCCGGTAAGAGTAGAGGATATTCGTAGGTTACTAGTATTCGATCATAGATGTCTTCGAAACATTGCTCGTATTTCCTGGGACCATCAAGTAAGTAACGCAGTTGTTAGGAAACGGGTACTAGGTAAGGATGGCAAATCGATTGATGAAGTGGTGAAACTTCATGATTTGAGATGGCTGGGACACGTGTTACGTATGCCCAACGACCGACTGCCTCGACGTGCGATGTTCAGTGGTATAGGAGTAGGTTGGAAGAAAGCTAGGGGCGGCCAGACCAAAACATGGCACAAGCCCATGAAGTCACTGACAAGTGGACTGTGTCATGTCGGTAGGCGTAGACTACCTGGTTGGGGACCGCGAGATGATAGCAACCGATGGTTAGAGACCTTGAATGACATGGCTCAAAATCGTTTGCAACGGCGCAGGTGCATCCACTCTTTGTGTTATCCCAAAGTTTAATCTACTGATTCCTCTTTGTCTCTTTTTTCTCTTCCCAAATTTATCTCACTGTATTACACTCTTTAAATAACATCTCCAAACCCTAATCTTCCCGATTACTGCTTATACTCTTACTACCTCTACCACTATGGGATTTGAATCGACAACTGCATCTCTGTGCTAATGTGGTATGGCAACTCGAACTGATGTACGTGCGTACGAAGTTCTACGTTGTTACTGACTGACTGACAGCTTCTAGGAGTAAACAGTATCCAAGATTTCAATGCGCTCTATTGTCTTTGTACACCAATTGATCGTAAGAGTACCCCTTTGAGTTGAATAGCTTAGTTGTTAGTGTCAAGCAATATGTTCTAGTTCTTAGCGCAGATGGATATGCTGAATAACCAAAATTTTATTTAATTATTTGAACACATAGATATTGGTACAAGGGGGCACCAAATACATATGAGCCACACGAATCTCATTCGATATGTGTGAGGGCTGTGATACTGCTCGCACACCCAAACCGAAGCAGGTGGTTTTCATAGGGGGGGCACACCCGGAGCCTTCGACCTGAAGGTCTGATCCACAAGGCAGTGGAGCATGGTAAGGAGATGAAGTCCCATGGTAGCTGGTGACCAACGATTGGTTCATACACCATTTGTTCTCGTAGGATACTGGAGCCCATGTGCACGATTGATTTTGTTTGGGTTCCGGTTAAAGCGCCGGACATTCGCTTTTCGTCCTCTCATTTTCGTAAACAACACCCCCGCCACGAGAAGGCAGTGAGTAGGACTTCCCTGGCAGAGGCTATATACGCGTGGCCACGTGAGAGCATTTCGAGAAGGAGAGTGGACTCTCCCCACTCTCGGCCGTACCAGGGCATTTGGGGGCGAATAACCAAAAACAAAGAATACGACTATACAACTCTTGGAACATATGTTTCATATGCGTTTCTTGGGTAGCAACAATGCCCAAAGGTTGAGAAGATCAAAAACGACTCGATATAATTTTAAAACAACCTTGCATGCTAAGGAGATATCCGTTTGTTGGTTCAAGATATGTGAAGAACACAATGTTGACATGACAAATTCATGATATTGAATCACTAAACAAACAATTTTAAGTAACTGGTATCCTTTATCAGATGTGGAATGGATCAAAATCGATTACAATGGAGAAGACGTACTCTTTATTATCCTGTCTTATAACTCTTTAGTCGGTTGTTAATCGTCTATTCGTACTTCACTTGTTTGTTTTTTCCTCCGTCTACATATATTTCTCCTCTCCTCGACCACTTTATAATACTGAAACTCAAAGCAATATACATGTCTTAGAGATTTTACATAGTTGTACACTATTTTGAGAAAGATAATACGCACTTTACTTATGGGTTTTTACCACAGATTATTAACTTCGCTTATGCCTAGATGAACGATTTCGCTAACAATGGTATACTTATTAGATCTTGCACACTTTAGGAGACAGTAACCAAATAGAGGTTAGATTTCCTTTGTATCTTCAATCATTAATTTGTGTGGTCTCGCAAACCTTAGTAAGATATCGTCAAATTCAATACAACTTAAATCCAAAACAACTCCGTAAATCATTGTAGTATCATAATACATGTTCAGGGACTTGAATAACTTAGTACTTGAAATGTTATTTCGAGTCAAGCTAAGACAACTAAGAATGAAAACTTGTCTTGACACTAGGGCCAATAAGAATACGTTTTGTATGCATGCACTAACCTTTCTGTAAACATACTCATATAAAAATATTTATCTACCATTTCAAACAGTCTATTGTTACAAAAGCAAACAAACATATATGCACAGGATTAAGTACGACTGAAAAATAGAGAAGTTTCAGAAAAGTATAATTGGACATTATGAAATCAAATCACAACCTCATCAATGAATCATAGTCTAAATATGATTACTATTTATTAATTACATTCAATCTTAAGGAAATTAATTGGTACCAAGCCGCCAACTTGATCACGTTCTCGCCAGACTTCACAGAATCCATCAGGAAGTAGTTTCCTGATTTGAACTTCATCATCGCACTGCAAGGTATAATGTGAATAGTAATTGCAAATAAACTTTATCATTAAATATACTGACATGTACGAAATAGTTTTAACTTTAAAATGTTGTACGCAACCACCTGGAAAAACGTACAAACTAGGAGGTGCAACCCCACATTCTTCAAGAAAGATTCAAAGGTTAGCATAACATTTGTAACTGCAGCTGAGGAATGTAACAAAAAAGTACGCGGTACAAGTTAAATATAGTTTATCAATTGCGGCACGCAGGAAAGCTAATGAGGTTATGGATTAGGAATTTACAGGTTGGTGAACCTGGCCTGTAGTTGCTAAAACAAATAAACAAAGTATGGCCAATACATGATACGTAGTGGTACAATGTGGACGACGATGACTGCCCATAAGACCGGATTACTGACATACGACTGTGAATAATTACAAATTAAAAGTAAGAACATTAGTTAGAGGAATAGGGCTTTTTGCCAAATAAAACTACAGGCTTGTATACAAAAGCATTCACGAAAATAACGTAACTTGATGTCATGAACGATCAGACAAAACTAATTTTTTGGGTCTCTCATTCACCGGTGAAGTAGAGCCAAACTGGTAGGCTTCACCATTATATCGGATTTAACAAGGATAGTTTAAAAGTAAGTTATTTGTAATTTCTGCTAGCACAAGCGAAAGGAATTTTTTTTATGAGAAATCACCTAAACTAACACCAGGAAAATCCTGATCAATTTGATTACAGTTTTGTAACATACATATTAAGGACCTACAGTACGTCATGTTTCTCAGGCTTTCTGCAGATGTTAGCTACGTAGGGTCTGGGACAAATTTACACAGATATAAATTGTTACGCTTTACATAAGCACATAAGGAGAAAATTAACAAGATGAAGTGGATGAGTTGGGCGGAATTAGTAGTAAAATGAATGGCATATAAGCCGAGAACGAAAGTTAGATTTCCTAGAAAAACAACAGAGACGTCATGGAAAGGAAATGAACTATGGTTGTGAGGAATATAAATTGGGATTTAAACCAAATTTGACCGACACCACTCAGGTTCTATAACCACAGATTAAGATTACCTTGGGAACTTTAACTTGCAAGTCTGGAACTGCTTGCAGACTTAGTATAATGGCCAATGGTTTCATGGACTGATGCTACATTTTGGTCAAGTTACATACAATCATTTCCAACCTATTTCTACTTCACAGTAGGTGGTGCGTGAGATATACTACATACCCTCAGGCGCCTTGGCCAATAAAGACTGAAGACTGTATTGGCTATTTGATTTTGCTACACATAAAAAATAATTTGAAGAATCATACAAAGGAATACCAGCAACTTAAATTCATTCCTAACCGCAGACTGAAAAACAACTCTTTGGATTACCGTATTATTTAATCTACATCATGTAATATCGTAAAGTGATTTAAATATGACGTGTTGAACATCTTAACAACGAACTAACCTCCACTTTCAAGTGATTTGTCGCGAAGATACTGGGATTTCTAGCCCTTACAACCTTTCCAGTAGCCGGTAACTGAACAGATTTCAGCATATGACAATAGGTTAATCCAAGTTGGTCACCAAGACCCTTTAATCTTGCAACAATTTCAGGTGTAAACTAGGAAAAAAGGCGTGTCATGGATACGTCAGTAAATAATATGAAGGATATTGTGATGGTAATAAAATTTATGGGTGACTTTTGAACGATGCTAGCGATATTGAGACAACTCATCTATTTACCAGGGTCAAAAGAGGACTAAAAATTAATATGAGCAATTAGGACTACGACTTACGGTTAGAAATCAAAGTAAGGGTTTTCATCACGAACTGGCATCAGCTATAATCAAAAATGCTATTTAATTATATGGATGTGTAAATCTTGAGCTAAAATCCAAGACTTCATATCCTTATTTTCACTGGTTTGTCCATAAATTATGGAATCGCCGATATTGTTGACAGGTTTAGTCCAGTATATTTTTTAAAACAAACCAAGTCTGTAAGTTAACGTAACCGAGACGTTATAGCAGATGTTATATCTATTTGCGGCACAGTAGACCAAAAACGATTTGGGGTTGAGCGATGAGACTGGTTCTCACAAGCGGAAAGCTGGCTTGGTGATCAAAGGGCGGCCTGCTTGAACATCTGGGCTACCTGTTCCTGCCATCTAGATATTTCAACAAGTTATCTATTTTTGTTTGTTTTAATATATCATTATGTTTATTAATCGCATGACCTATTCTGCTGCGTTTCTGAAAAGTGTACAACCTTTCGTTGTCAAAGTTACAAAAAACTCAATAAGAGACAATGTAGTTGCTGGCAATATACAGCGAAAAGAATACACACTATCCAGATGTTCATTTACTGAACTGCTAACATCTAACTGGCGATCACTCAATATTTATCGTCAGGACCGACCAAGAAGAAAGAAACGGAAACTTGTTGAAATGCTTTACGCCGAGAATTATACATTGTACCAAAAATATAACATCGAATAAAGCTGACAATAATAACAATAATAATCAGTACCTAAATCCCAACAACTTGATTGAGTTATCCTCTATTTACCCCAGGTACGACAGTCGAGCATTTATACAACCCTATGGACGAAAAATTAGATCAAAACTAGATACATGAACATTTATCTAGTTTCTAGGACTTGCTGAGTTAAGTTGTAACGCGATAGGAAATTGTAAAACAGTGGTCAGTATAACACTGAGATTTGAGGTGAGGTATCATCATGACATTCAAGCTATTTCCGAATTACAGATTGCGTGCAGTAAAAACACGGGAAAATTTTGTCATTAATCCAAAGAAACTACATTACTCACCGGAGTTAAATAATTTGAAGGAACCCAACCGATACGGTTATCGCCTGATTTACATAGAATCCACTCCCGCTTTTGTCTTATGAATGTTAACAAATCTCCCCTCTGAAAAGACAAATCTCCCTCTTCCTAGAAAATAACGGGAAGAGAGAAGTAATAACCTGTGCTTGAAACGAATATAAAGCAGCATAAGTAGCCTTCTGGGCTGGCTGTCTCATACGAGTACTCGAAGAGTGTGAAGTATGAAGTCTAACCAACTCATCGAGAGAAGAATAGAGAGTGTCGCCAAACTTGAACTTTTTCAGTTGAGGTGCCCATGTAAGTAAGTAACGCTTGACTTCGTTGGCCTCTCTGATTATTAGCACGTAAAAATAGACATACTTTATCGCAAGCACGTAACCTGACTTTGTAGTGCTGTCACGTATCAAGAATGTTCCAACAGGCTGATCAATAAGAATCTCATTAGCTTTTTCTCTGCTTATTTCACCAAAATACCACCTACAATATCGAAACAAACCACATAAACTAACGGAGCATCTGGAACTAGTTCGACCGCCATTTATTTCAAGGTCAGCCTTCAGTAATAAGGATAGGAGGTCTGTCGACCTATATTAATCCTTGCAGTTTGTAATACTGTGGAGGTCCAATCTCGTTATGAATATATCAACGGAAGGTGCTGATATTACGTGTTCCGGCAGAGAATTCCAGTAATTCACTACTCGATGCGAGAAACGAAAATCCAGACGAAAAAGATTCGATCTCGGTTTTTGAACTTTCTTCGAATGTCCTCTCAAATGATCAGTCCTAGACGAAAGTAAAAGATAAGAAATGTTAATACCAAAGTCATCGTTCAGTATACGACAAGCCAATATTAGATCACCCCGTGTTCTACGGTAAGATAACAAAAATAAGTTAAGGTGTCTCAGTCTGTCTTCATAAGATAGGTCAGATAGACCTTGTACCATCTTAGTACCTCATCGTTGGACTCTTTCCAGAATCTCTGCCTCATACATGAAACGAGGACTCACTGCTTGAATCCCATATTCTAAATGTGGTGGCACATAATTCGGGTATAATAATCTAAACATTTCATCATCTAAATACTAGAAAGACCTACGAATGGACCATAATACCCTATAGCCTTTCGCAGCAGCAGCCTTACAGTGACTAGTGATTTTGATATCACTGCTTAATATAACTCCCAAATCTTTATAGTTTCTTACTTTGGGTAGCCGACCGTTGTTGCTACCTTGACGTGGTGATCGGGCTTGTCTATCGTGATGAAGCAACCAAGCTATACTGACTGGAATAACTGTTCCTCAAAGTCCTACCACGTCAGAAAGGTCGGTTGAAGAGCGGTAAGACTAAAAGCCATAAACCCAAGGTCCGAAGGCGAAGTCGTACTGCTGACAAAAATTGCCCATAAAAAGGTCTTGTGTGACCGACCTCAAGCAGTCGTCCCTTTGGCACTGCGGTCACGCTCTCAGGTCACTAAGACCACCTCTAATCCAATTTCCTTTTCAGGTGTCTGCAGAAGAATCCTTCCACTGTGTGGGCGACCGGAAAATGATAACCGTCCTCATACCTCTGACAGCACTCAAGACCACTGTATTCATGATCAACCTCCCTCTTCAATTCCTATTATTCCTCCTTCAACTCTGAGCTTCTTTCGGCTTCCTCCTCAAGTGTCACCATGTCCAACGATTCTAGTGCGCAAAACACTGTCCCAGGTCTACTGAAACCTCGCTCCAAACTACACATTGGAGCCTTCAACGTACGCACCCTATGTGAAATCGGTCAGCAGGCTTCCTTGGCTAAAACACTAGAATCTCGTACCATTGATGTATGCTTTGTCTCCAAAACACGCATACAGGATCATAGTGCGGTCATTCACTTGACCTCACCTCGGCAGAACAGAGAGCCGACGAGATACACCCTCGGTGTATCTGGTGACCCGATGGCCAGTTCTTGTGAACTGGCAGGTGTAGGCATAGCATTAAGCATGAGGGCGGAGCAAGCACTGTTAGAGTGGATCCTCGTTAACAGTCGTTTATTTGCTTTTCGGCTAAACGGCTCCTTAAGAACTCGGAAGGATAAGGACACACGTCGTTGCCTTTTTGTCGTTTCTGCCTACGTTCCCACTGACTGCAGCTCGGATGAAGTGAAAGATGAATTTGACAGAAAGCTAAACGTTCAGACATAGTACCGGTAGGGGGTGACTTTAATGCCCAGATAGGTAGTTTAAACTAAACAGAAAGGCATTTAGGTGGGTGTATTAGTATTCCGACACAGCGAACAGATAATGGTGATCGTCTGCTGCAACTGTGCTCAGACAATCGTTTATTTTTAGCAAACAAAAATTTCAAGCATAAGGAGAGACATCGTCTAACATGGCGACCCCCTACACCAAACCAACGATGGACTCAAATAGACCATATTGCCATCAGTCATCGTTGGAGAGGGTCGGTAGAAGACTGTCGCTCATTCTGGAGTACCTGCTTGGACTCCGACCACGGCGTAATACGGGCACGCATCTGCTTGCGCCTCACTGGACGCAAAAAGTCACAGTAAAAAGACCCATTAGAACTGAATTGAGTAACGAGAATACCAAAAGTAGTTTCCAGGAAAGACTGAGGTCACACTTAGGTAGTTCTGAAAACGAGGCTGACCCAGATGTTGCTTGGAAAGATATACAAACAGCTGTGGAAACAGCAATGAAATCTATTAGTGACTTAAACCACAGAGTTACAAAGAACCAGTGGATTTCTTCAAAGTCTATCACACTGATGGATTCTCGCAAACTCGTCTCATCAGGTTCCGAACATGATGAAGAGCGACAACCAATCAGATCTATGTTAAGCAAAAGTCTAAGAAACGACCGTGAGCAGTGGTGGGCAACGAAAGCAAAAGAGATGGAAAAGGCGGTGTCTATAGGGAACGCAAGACAGCTCTACAGACTAATAAAAGAAACTGGAATTAATAAATCAAGTGTAAGTGAGATTATTTCGAAAAAAGACGATACTCTCATCTACTCGCAGTCCAGACGTTTAGAACGATGGGCGGAACATTTCAGAGAACAGTTCAGCTGGCCTTCAGCTACTCTACAACTGTCGTCCATTCCCAGACAGTGTGAATGGAACATTGAAGTAGGTCCCCCAACTCTAGCAGAAGTTCAAAAGGCTATAGTTAATCTGAAAAGAAAAAGAGCAGCTGGTCCAGATGGATTGGCTCCAGAAGTCTTTAAGGATGGTGGTCCAATTTTAGCGATTAGGTTGACTAATATTTTAGCTAAAGTCTGGGACATGGATGTGATCTCATCTGACTGGTCACAATCACTTATCGTCCTAATATATAAGAGAGGGTCAAAATCATCCTGTGAAAACCATAGAGGGATTAGTTTAACTAATATAGTATCTGAAATACTAGCCTCGATAATTATCGGACGCCTAACTAAGACTCATGAACTGCAAACACGAGAGAATCAAGCTGGCTTCAGACCTGGTTGTGGCTGCATCGACCACATATTCACCATTCGTCAGGTTCTAGAACATAGGCATACTTATCGGCATCCGACAGTGGTGGTCTTTCTTGACTTAAAAGCAGCATTTGACTCTGTAGGCCGCGAGATTCTGTGGCAGTGTCTGTCATTGAAAGGCGTACCCCAGAATTACATAAACCTTGAGAAGGCTCTTTACTCGAACACTACTAGTCGAGTCAGAGCTTATGGCGAACTGTCTTCTGCTTTTGCAACCTCAAGTGGTGTCCGTCAAGGCTGTCCACTTTCTCCATTTTTGTTTAACTTCATCATAGACCTATTGATGGAAATAACCCTCTCGTCGACTGAATTCTCGGGTATTGATCTCCTTCCAGGAGGTCCACTTATCGACTTAGAATACGCAGACGACATAGTCCTGTTTGGTGAAGACGCTGACAAAATGCAGAGTCTTCTGGTAGCACTAAGCAACAATGCCAGAATGTTTGGAATGCGCTTCTCTCCCTCTAAATGCAAGTTGTTGCTTCAGGACTGGTCTGCGTCAACACCTGAACTAAGGATAGGGAGTGAAGTAGTCGAACGCGTCGACAATTTCACTTATCTTGGGAGTCTGATCAGCCCTAATGGGTTGGTGTCTGACGAAATCTCAGCACCGATTCGAATAGCTCGTTTGGCTTTTGCCAACTCATGTCACCTATGGCGAAGGCGAGATATCCGTCTATCAATAAAAGGACGAGTATACTGCTCGGCAGTTTGTTCTGTTTCAATTTACGGCAGCGAAACATGGCCATTGAGAGTAGGAGATACTAGTAAGTTACTATTGTTTGACCACAGATGTCTTAGAAATATTACTGGCGTCTGCTGGGATCAGCGGGTAAGTAATAGTGAGGTTAGACACAGGGTATTAGGGAATGATGGTAAATCAGTTGATGAGGTTGTGAGTCTTCATCGACTGAGATGGTTGGGCCACGTATTGCGTATGCCTGAACACCGACTACCACGACGTGCAATGCTACCCGGTTTTGGAAATGGTTGGAAGAAAGTTAGGGGCGGCCAAACCAAAACGTGGCATCAGTGCTTGAAGTCACTAACTTCTAGTCTCAGCCATGTTGGTAGATGCAGTCTACTTGGTTGGGGTCCGCGTGACTATCGTAACTAATGGTTGGAGACTCTTGATGACATGGCTCAGAATCGATCACAATGGCGTCGGTGTATACACTGTCTGTCTTCCCTTAAACTAAGAGATTAAAATCACTTCATATCTTTCTTTCTACAAACTAATTCTTTCTTCCTGTACTGTATCCTTATATGCAATCTTTCTCCTGTATATTACCACCTTTGACCTAACCACTCCTATGAATCCGGTGTTCATCTTGCTGTGCTAATGCGGTATGGCAACCTGGACCGATGCATATATGTGCCTGGTGCTACGTTGTAGCTGACTGACTGACTGACTTTGGGTAGCACGAATCCACCTATTGTGTGATACGATTCATCATAGTTATTTATTCGCATCACTACACTCTTATTAGGATTTTGTTTTTAGTGACCACCTGTCCAACCATGTCACCAACGAGCTAAGGTTATTCTGTAATACTATCCTATCCGACATACTGTGTATGGGTCTTCAAATCTTTATGTCATCAGCGAAGAGTAGGACGGATGATTTCGCTATAGTTGGTAATTCATTTTCATAAAGTAAAAAGAGAAGAGGACCGAGGATTGCACCTTGGAGAACCCCACTTTTTACAGGTAACCACGAGGAGAGAGCTCCATTTACTCTTATTTTTGTCTCCTGTCATGCAGAAAGTTACTAATCCAATCTACTACTGTATAATGGATTCCAAAACGTTCCAGTTTGAATTTAAGACCAGAGGCTTTACTTAGATCTATGAAGATCACATCCACAGGAATATTCTGATCTTTTGCAGCAGCCCAATGAGAAGATTTGTCGAGCATGATAGGCTTCTCCAAAAACCATGCTGTTACCTGGAGGAAAGATTATGTCCTTTCAACACAGTTTATAACAGATATTCATATGATTTTTTTTCAGCAGTTTTACAACTGCACTAGTTAAGCTAACGGGTCT